TGTTTTGTTTTGAGTGCTCAGTGCTCAAGCCTCCTTCATTTCTAACATGAAAAGTGGTAGCTCATGGGGTCAGGGTCCCAGTCCCAAGCAGCAGCTACAATGTGGAACAAGAAGAGCTAATCAAATCTGGCTCATCTGTATCCCCAGTAGGAATGCACTGTATACACCAGCATATAAAGTGACTTGTATATAAGATGAGGTTGATATTCTGGGCTGTTTTTCAGGTGTTTGTCATATGTCAAGCGTATAAGATGACCTCCAACTTTTGCTTTGCTATTTTTGGTTTCCACTGTCATTTTTGCACTGATATATACAGTAATAATGTGAAGAATAAGTGACCAGGAAGTATGTTTCAAAAAAATACTCATATATATCTGGGTATAAGACAACTTGCATATAAGACAAGGTCAGTATTTTGGGTGTTTGACACTGTTTATATATGTTGGGTGTATCAGACAACCTCCAATGGTTGCTTTGCTATTTTCGGTTTCAAGAGTTGTCTGATACGCTGGTATATATGATAAGACCCAAAGTGAGATCAGAGTCTGAGGCTTATCCTTTTCAGCGCTGCCACTCCTCCACCATGGCTGATGCAGAATGGAAAAGGCAGCTGGGGCCTGAAACATTTCGAGTTGGAAACCTGAGCAAGTCTCTTGTAGCTAGTGATCTGTCCATGCTGCAACAGGCCCTTTTCTGTTGTCCCTCTTTGCCAGTGCTTACACAAGATGGGGAACGTAAGGCCTTCCACATGGCATTGAACTACATCTCTCATCATCCCTAGCTACTGGCCAGGTTGGCTGGAGCTGACAGAACTTGGCATCTAACAGCTTCTGGATGGACAGAGATTCTAAACCTGGGCCTGTTTCCACTTCATGTCCTTGCCTACATCAGATGCTGGCTCTTGCTACCATCCCAGATTGCTGACTGGACCCCCTGCCTCAGGTGTGGGCTCTGCCATATCAGAACTGAGTTCTAGATCACAAGTCCTGAAGTTACTCCTTGCAATTTAGAAACGTTCTCTCTTCCTCACAAACAGAGGGAGGGCTGCTGTGAAGGAGGGCTGTTCTTTGTTGTTGAGCCACCTGTTTTATAGAGGATATTTGCACAAGCAAGTGCTGTGTGAAAAGTCCCTCCTTTCCTTAGAAGCTGGATGTGACACGCAGGCTGTATGTGGGAGAAAGCCCTACTAAAACACACCAACAATGTACTGGTGGATGTGAGTCCTATAGGCAGGGTGCAGGCACCAGGAATGTGTTTCTGCACCCTTCAGATTTTGCAAAAAGATCACTATTGAATCATGCCACTGTGCTGAGATTCTGTTCGGGGTTTAGAAACCTACAGAATGTAGCACTGGATGCATAATTTCTGATAATGTCAGCAATCATTTAAAAACAAACATGTTTTTAGTCCTTAAGGCTGGAAAATGCATGCTTCAGGGTTATGTGGGCAATGCTTACTTAAGGACTGATTAAGCTTTCTAATGGCCTGCATAGTTCCTTGCCCCTCTCCCTAACTAGCAGAATGTGAATCAATTATGCACAAAGTCATAAATGATGCAGAATGGGAGAAACTGGTATTTTCACTGAGCAGCAGGATTCAATGTGCAGTACACTCAGCCCTAAGTACAATCAAGAGAACACTTGTGATTGGTCTTAAAACATGCAAATCAGGACATCAGTACCACACAAAAAGCCAAGCAAGAGCATACTTCTGAGCAGGAACTACGGACAAACATGGAGATTTGCTGCTACTGTTATGGTACAGCATTTACCTCTATTGGTCCACTAGTCCACCTTAACAGCCAGGAACCTACAGTGTCTTTCAGTGTTCAGAATTTACTTGCCATATTTAGTGAGGATGATTACATGTGCTCCAGAGTAATAAACCCCAATCCTTGGTGAATGTGCCTATATGCAAAATACTTTATGCCAGCCTTCCCCAACCAGGTGCCCTCCAAAGGTTTTGGATAACAATTCCTAGAATTCCTGACCATTGCCCTTGCTGCTTGGGGCTGATGGGGTTTGAAATCCCAAACATTTGATGGGCATTGATTTGGTAAAGGCTACTGTATGTATTCAGGCACACACTCTAAAAGCATCTTAGGCGTATGCCTTAATATAATGTGTGAAAAGAACCCATAGTCCTACTTGTGCTGATCTGGCTCTTACTTGGCCCTGTCTGCTTCTTACCTTATAGCTGAACTTTCTCCCTGGACTTAAATCCCACATTCTAAATTGATCAGTCTCTAGAAGCAGCATCATCCTTGACAAATGTATAATAAGCCCATTTCATTACTGCTGAATGAATTTTAGAATTTTGAGTTCAGACATGTGGGTTCAAAATCATTAGGGAGTATCCACTCTCCCCTGTGGAGATTGGGGCAGTCTCACTCATTGTAGGCCATGCAGTGGGAATCATTGTCAGATTCTGAACGGGAGGAGGACGAGGAGCAGGAGCAAGTGGAGGCAGAACCCCCTGGAGTACCTTCAAGGTTGCACGGTGAAGTTTCTCATGCTAAGTGTGAGAATCAATCTGTTTTGGAAGAGACTAAAGGGCTTTCAGGAGGGGAGTGGAAGAAGATGTGGGACCCAGACCTTGACCCAGGAAGGAGGCTGATTCAGCAAAAGCACTCTTGCTTGAGCACAATGGATGAATTTCAAGTCTAGGCCGGGGTCCAGAGGTAACTGCTTGAACTCCATTTCCCACCTGCACCGTACCCTGGGTTTCTCTTCATAAATCACAGAAGGGCTCTTGTGCTGAAGCAGGGATGTTTAGGGACACTTCTTCCCCTTCTCAGCAGGTTTGTCAACTTTTCCCATTCTTCCCCTCTAGGAGGAGGAGCCACTTTTGCATTTCCCCCCAACTCTCTAGGTAGTTTGTTGTTGTTAGTCGCGAAGTCGTGTCCGACCCATCACGACCCCATGGACAACATTCCTCCAGGCCTTCCTGTCCTCCACCATCCCCTGGAGTCTGCTTAAGCTCACACCGACTGCTTCAGTGACTCCATCTAGCCACCTCATCCTCTGCCGTCCCCTTCTTCTTTTGCCATCTATTGTTCCCAACATTAGGCTCTTCTCCAGGGAGTCCTTCCTTCTCATTAGGTGGCCAAAGTATTTGAGTTTCATCTTCAGGATCTGGCCTTCTAAAGAGCAGTCAGGGTTGATCTCCTCTAGGACTGACCAGTTTGATTGCCTTGCGGTCCAAGGGACTCGCAGGAGTCTCCTCCAGCACCACAATTCAAAGGCCTCAATCCTTTGGCGCTCAGCATTCCTTATGGTCCAGCTTTCACAGCCGTGTAAAAATGTGTGCCCCTTCTTTTTAAAGGGAAACTGAGTCTGACAGTTGCCTGTCAACACTGAAGGTCACATTAAATTGGAGGGTCTGAGCAGGAATTGGGTGCATTTGTACTGGGATATACTTTGAAGGCAACTATCAAACTGTGCTTCACTTTTAAAGAGTCCTATGGGAGATTCACTTTTACACCAGAGGGTGGCAGTCCCAAAGATTGTGATGAGAAGGGGCTGTAAATCTCCCATAATACTGGCACAGAAAGATCATTCATTCCTTCTGTGGTCTGTCAAGAGAAACCTGGGAAGTGGGAGGGAATGGTTTTCAAGACTGAGCAGTGATAATGTCCAGAGCTTGTTTGCTGTCCCTTGGCATGAGGTACCCCCCCCCCCCGGCATAGCTGCGGCTTGAAATCCAACCATGAGCACTTTTGCACAAATGGGATTAAAATAATATTTTTGCTCCTATGTGTGTATAATTAAACAAATCACTGGCAAGTCACAGGGAGTCTCTGCAGGATGCTGCCTTAGCTATTTAAAGGGGCTGCTTGTGGCTTTCCAAATGTGGATCAGGAATGCCAGTTCTCCTCCTCACTTAAAAATGCTGACTAAAAAGCTGTGGCAAGCTGAAAAGGAGCCAGCCTTATTCTTCCCATAGTGTCCACTCAGATACTGCTTGGAGGACCAAGGGAGAAGGAGGGAGCAATTTACTCATGATGAACCCAACTGTCCATTGTGCCCACTGTGGTTATGCCACTGAACAACCTACCTGCCATGGGAAATTGTCACAAGTTGGTGTTTGCTATATATGGAGCCACCCTCTGTGTGCCCCCCACCTCACTATCAATATCACCAACGAAATCATCCCAGTTCTTGGTGCCTGGATGAATAACCCCTGCCTCGTCTGAAGCCAGACTTCCCTACTCCCACTTCCATGTAAGACCACTCCAGGTCGGTTCAATGGGCATTACTGCGTTTCCTGTTAGGCTCTTTTCCATTCTTCTCCACACTGAACTGAATCAATCCACCACTGGAAGGCAGCTCTAGAAGAAGTTTGCCATCCCTAGATTAGGGCACAAATGCTCCTAGGACTCAACCTTGAGTGGTATTGAAAGGGAGAATGAAAGGGATTTGGGTAAAATTTACTAGCCAAATATTTAATGGAAGCACTAAACATTTTTTAAAAATCATTTAGCTGGTTGAAGGATCAAATCTGAGTGTCTGAATTTGCAAAACTAAAGAATATTTTTGCATTTCATTTTTGATCCCTTTCGTGTTTGCATTTCAATTGGGTCTTCTCAGGAAACCAGTGTGATGGATCCAGACTCAGTCAGAGTAGACCATATAAGGTCAATGGTCCTTAAGTCATGAGTACTTTGTCCCATTAATTTCAGTTTTCTACTCTACATTTGACTGTCTGGTCTGAAGCACAGACAAGCTTCTCTGCTATGTTTTATGAAAAGCAAATTGGAAAGGTGGGGATATTTTTTTTTCAAAAATAATAAAATGAAAATGTGCAGATGCCAGATTTATTTTCCCTTTTCTTTCTCAACTTGGTCTGGAAAATAGCTGTTTCTTTTTGTTTTTAATTTTATTTCTCTAGCAACAGGGAGCTTATTAAACTGTGGCTTGTGCTTAGTGAAGAATCTCTTCCTGCTCTATTTCTTGTTCAGATTTTGCATTTTGACTATTTTTTAATCTTGTCTCTCATAGATAAAGTGAGAAGATCATTGCAGAGCCAATAAGCAACAGATGGAGCCAACAGGAGGAGGAATATATCGGTGCACACACACATATATTTATATTACACAAGCTGGCACACAACGCTTAATAAGACCAAACATGGTACCACTATAACTTCATCCACTGTATCCATGGTAACACAAGCACACATATAACTCAGTCGAGTCACAGTTAATGAAAACCTTTGGGATAGTGACTGTATAATTGCCTCTCTTTTCTTTTTTGTTTTTTGAGGGTGCTTTAAAAATAATTGGTATTTAAATAAATGTACTAAAGAAACTATAATTGTATCTGCCAAAGCCAAAATCCTACATGAACCTCAAAGTCAAGGATGGGGAGGGGTGTCTGCATGCATGAAAGAAAGCAAAAATGTGGAGGAGTGAATTATTATTAGGGGGAGAAAGCAAAATTTCACAAGATGTTAAACTGGCTAAGAAGTACCACCTTTTCATGCTCAATAGAAATGTCCAACATGAACTCATTTTATTACTCATAGAATCAAATAATGGTAGAGTTGGAAGGGGCCAGAAGGCCACTGAGTCCAACCCTCTGCTACTGCAGGACACTAAACTGCACCATCCCATTCCTTTCCTACCACATTCAGTAAGGCCCCCATGTAACACTAATTCATAGGGCATTCCTATGAAGGCTGTAGAAGAACCCTTACCAGCAGAGGTGCTGCTAAGCCTGGCCCTTGAATCTATTCCCCAGGCCTTGGGTGTCAAGAGGAAAATGGTATCCTCTGCACTTCAAGTGCTGGAATATCTCCTCCTGCCATGAAAAAACACCTCCCTGAATGACAATTAAGCTTACTAATCATGTTTAATTTGTGCCAATGGGAGTTTAAAAATTGGTAGGACATACAGAATTTCTAAGAGCCCAGTTAAGAATTAACCTCCCCTGCCCCATACATTTTTCACATAGCAATTAAGCTTAAGGAAAACTTCCAGTTTTCTATAGGCAGGAACGAGACACACACGGAAGGGGGAGAGAACTGTGGGGAAGGGGCAATGAGGAATTGCAAATGAATCATAATTAAAGAGGAACTATAAATTGGCATGATTCAGGGTGGGCACAAATTAACCAAATACTTCATTTTATTGAGGTGAGTTGGGTGGGAAATTCATTGGCTAGCTTCGGCTTTCTGTGGAGTGTAAAGAAATCATAGTACATATATAGAGAGCCCCACATTATCATACGGACATCTTATGCAGATTTGTGTCCAGTGTGTCAGGGCCCTGACTCTTCAAAGTTTCCTGAATCTTCTGCAGGGCCCCTGGCCAGGAAAGGGAGCGGAAGGCTGGGTTTTTTCCTCCTCTGCTTTTGTCAGTAGGCATGCAGCAGCAGCAGCAGCCTTACTTCAGTTTATGCTTCAAGCTTCGCATTTATTCATTTATTATTTTTATGCCGCGAAATATTAAGAAAAACCTTTAGCAGTTTCCGTAGTTCGGGAATGCCCGAGTTTTTAATCTCTTCTCAGAGGACATGCAGGGGAATGGATCATACTTTGGATTCAGCATACCCATGGCAGCCTCCCCAGACATGCCCCAAAGCACCCCGACAACAAAGCCTCTTACCTCTGCAGGGAGCGGGCCTCCAACCATGGAGCTCTTTCCCGGCCAGCCGGCCTCCTTCCTGGTCTGCCAAATCCAACAGCCCCTCAGCCTCCTCTAGAGGAGTTCAGGGTTTCTTCCCTCAACATTTGCTTGTGGCAACAGCAGAACCTTTGCATGCAGTACTAATCTAGTAGGTGTCAAAGGAATAATTAAGGAAGCATTTATGCAAGGGTACCAGTAGATTTTAACGTGATAGCTTTGAAATCACTAAGCTAAATCTGGAGAAGCTGGGTGTGTACCCTATTATTTTCATCTGAGCTCCTGGAAGGAAAGGTGGAATACAAATTTAATCAGTGACAACATACAAATAAATCAGCAGGGCAGCTGTTATGGGAACTGGAGTACTTTGTATGCAGGCAAGGCATATGAGTTGGTAAAATAAGTTGTTATTCATGCTTTAACATATGATAAACATAAAGTACTGCTCAAAGTAGAGGAAATATACATGCTGATGTTTCTTAAGAAGTTTTTCTATTTTATTAAGGCTCCTTATTTTCTGTGGTTGGATCTGAAAATAAGTAATCTGAGGAAACAAAACTTTCCTACCTTTTTTTTCTTTTTTCTTTTTGCAGTTACCTGTATTTTCCCAAAAGCAAAAGGGATTTGGTATAGGCACTGTTGGGGGATGGGAAAAGTACTTCGAATTGGGTGGAGATGCAGGCAGTACAACTGGCTGTAGAAATACAAAGTGAATGAAAAATCTTCTGTCCATGAACTCCCTAAACCCTATCCATCTTAGAATCCAATCCATTATTATTAGAACCCAGAAAATATTGCTTTAAACTTGCCCCACAAGCGCTTTGAAAATCTTCAAAATAGGAATGCAAAAATCACATGCAATATGGCAAGCCCCCAACACCAGGTGCCTGTAGGGACTGCATGGGTAAGGTGCAATGATAGGTATTCCCTACCCCATTAAAAATATATTACTTTAAGAAATGGAAACCTTACCATGCCATGTCCCCCTCCTATTCCTACTCCTACAGTGATTACCTTTTCAGCAGGCAAGAAGAGAAGAAAAAAGTTGCTCCATGGCCGCCTCTGGGGGTCTTGTGTTGACATAGATCATTCTTTTTTGGTGGCTTGCTCTCCACTCCCAGCCTTGCTAATTTCCTCCACTCAACTTGTTTTCCCCTTGCCATTTCTCTCCTTTCCCACCCCAGCCTTATTTTTCTCCCTTCCTAGTTCCAAGCTGTTTCTCTCTCCTTTATCTGATTGGCTTCCTATTTCTGACTACCTCCCATGTAGCCTCTATCCTTGCTATTTCTCCCAGTACTGCCCTCTTTGACCAGCAAGTCCCCAAGGCAGCCTTTAATTGACCAGCCAGATTCTTCATGTGATCCAGTTTTGTGGTGCTGACTGCAGCAGAATCTCAAACCCTACATGTGCCCATGGGTCCAAAAAGGATGGCAACCCCTGCAAATGTGGTCATTAAATATTTGAACATGTTTAAGAAGACTCCCAATGCTATTTCCCTTATCCATTTGATTGAAGGTGGAATACTAAACTTAACACAACTATCAAATACAGATAAGGCAATCTGAGACTTATTACCTACAGACCTCAACTGATTTTCGTTTATATCTCAATATGACTAGCAGAGAAGAAATTGATGGGAAAAATGTATGGAGTAACTACTTTACTGAAATTGCTTATTCTAGTAGGAATCATTTTTAAAAAATAGAGTTGGGGAATGATTGTGGGGTACAAAACTACTTTTTAAGGGATACTTTAAGGGTTGGTGAATACCTTGATAAAAACATCAATTTCTTGAACAGTGTCTATGTGGGGGTGGGGGAGCTCAACTCCATGTTAGGGATTGTTTGGAGAAGGAACAAAAATGAAACTGTGGTGATGAATCTGGTACAGTTGTTAGAGGGGGGCTCAGGAGGCAAAGGTTCTATTCCCCACCTGGCCATGAACCTCACTTGATGATGTTGCCTCACCCACTTGGAGCCTAACTTACATCACAGAGTGGTTGAGAGGATAAAATGGTAGTGGCAGGGCAAGAAACCTATACTATGGTCCTCCAAAGAGTGGAGCTATGGCCCTGGATCTCCCTGTTCCCTGTCTAATACTCTTAACCATTTCACCACACTGACTATTGATTGCATGGAGTCTGACCTTATCAGTGGCCATTAGGACAGCTATAAACAACCTAAGTTTTGAGTGCTAGTACTTCTCCTTCTCTTGCTATTGTGCTCAGCATGGAGGGCTCTGGTACTCATGGAGGCTCTTCATGTGATTTAGAAGCCTAAATATGCAGACCTCTGAATCTCACAATAGCTTACATGAGCCCAGAGATTACTTTTACCTTATCCGCCTCCTCTCCCTTTTACCTGTGCAACAACCGTAACAGGTACATTAGGCTGAATATCACTACTCCAATATCACCCAGTAAGCTTCACATCCAAGTGGGGACCTGAATCCTAACTCTAACCACTGTACCACATAACCTCAAGTCATGAAGGACGTTATAGTGGCAGGCATCAGAGATGTGACTCGGGATGGAGCTAACCCTGTCAGCATAGGTGGCATGTTAGTGCTGATATCACTATCTTGCGCAGTAGCATCTTAGAAGGCCTCCTTTGGGATCAAGGCAACAGAAAACTCTTTGGGTTTAGTTGTAGCACCTCAGGAAAAAGCCCTCTCAAAACTATGGCTTGCTTCAATTCCTTGCTTATTGTGCAGGAGAAAAACAATACAGTTTAAGGTAGCTATGAGAGGTTTCAGAGATGCTTGTGTGCGTTTTCCCAAAATTTGCCGAGCATCTTCTCCCTACCATTGTGAAATTCAAAACAAAATCCAAAAGGACCAGGTTATGTTCTTCTAGGATTTTTTTCTATTTTGGAGACTGAAGACTCCTAATAAGAGTGTTGAAAGTGGTTGAAAGCATGTGCCAAATTTATTTGCTTCTGCACAATTTTGGAAAGCATTCCAGGCGTCTCCAACTCTCCATCAGTCTCCAGCATTACTTGAACTCAATTCTGAGAGAGCATATGAATGAACTGGGCTGGATCCAAAATTAGTCATATATAGAGTAGACCCACTGGGACTTAAACTAGGTATAACTAAAGCCCCATGGACTGGGGAAATTCATGGGGCTTTAGCCCCACCGGACATCAGGAAAATCTTCCTCACTGTCAGAGCAATACAACAGTGGAACCAACTGCCTAGAGAGGTGGTGGGCAATACCACACTAGAGCCATTCAAAAAGAAACTGGACAGTCATCTGAGTGGGATGGTGTAACTTGGTGTCCTGCAACAGCAGGGGGGTTGGACTCAATGGCCTTCATGGCCCCTTCCAACTCTACTGTTCTATGATGCTATGATTGCAGTGGGTCTACTCTAGGTATGAATAAATTTAGACCCAATTCATGGCTTAGTTCTGTTGACACCTCCTCCCACACAATGCACTTCCTGAGTCTTGCAGCTAATGATGGAAATGGACCTCACCTGCAACCTTTTGCTTGCCCATTCTTGCCTTCCTTTTCTCTCTTGCCACTTTAATTTTCAAAAAGCTTCAGCTGCTGTTTCTCTCCTAGAGTATCTTTCTCTCTTAAGAAGCTGTTTCCTGGCTGTTCAGAGCCTTTTCTTCCTCACTTCATTCTTTGTCTTTGCTTCTTTCCCCTTCCTTCCAAACTGAGTTTGGCTTGCTGCTAGAAACTTTCCCCCCCTAAGTAAATCTTCAAAAGTGACTCGCTATTGGGAATTTTTTCAAGCCTAGGTAAGGTGGTAGAAGCTATTCCAAATTAGTAGAGCAGCAAAGGTGGAGATAGGATGTAGTGGGGATAGTGTTAGAATGTATTTTAGAAGGTTTGTCAATGTCACAAGTTTATTCTCGGAGTACTTGGCTGTTTCTCTTTTTTTGATGTCATTTGAGAGCAAAACAAAAAGCTTCTATCCTCCCCTCTCCTATTTGCAGTGTCTGCACAGGGAGGGAGGAAAAGCAAGAGACCTGCTTGGTATGGGGAAGGCTCCAGGCTCTGAAACAGACATCTCCAGGAGGGCTGGAATGGCTTCTGCCTGAACTCAGGAGAGCCACTGCCAGTCAATACAGAGAGGCTGGACAAGGTGGACCAAGGTCTTACTCTGGATAAGGCAGCTTCCAAGAAAATGAATTCTTGTGTTGCTACTTTGAGTAGTTGGAAAGGGGAATCAGGTAGAGGTGTACAGTATTAACATAATGGCCTTTAGGCATGTGCAAAGTACCTTTTACTAGTAACTAGCAACCAGCTCTCACATATCTGAGAGTGGGAAAAGAGCTTTGGTATCACTGTGGTATAAATTCCAGGCGGCCTCAGAACCCTGATTTTGGAAACACACTGAATTGTAAGAGACCTAAAGGCAAAGGAGCTTGTGAATACTAGGAAAAAAGATAATAAAGGGGATTGAAGAAGTACAGTGGAGGAGCCTTGATTATTGTCTCTGAGCCTGAAATGGATACAAAGAGAGATGGTATAGAGATTAACATAACTTCTAAGGCATGTTTATACTTCAAGAGTTAATTGGATTGATTGTTCAGCTTCATGCCTCCTTCCCCACAATACATACAACTGTAGTGCTGTGCGGATGCCAAGAATAGCTGCTTGCTACTGCTATCACAGTGCCTCTATTGGGAGCTATGATAGTTGACTTGGCTTGAAATTGGTTCAGTTCCTGGTCTACAAATGGTCCATGGAGGAGCCATTGATCGCCTTAAGCTGTTTTTCCAAAAACTCCTGCAAACTTCCTGGCTTGCGTTTTGGGAACTTGTCCTCATGTGTCAATTGCTGAAGTGCCTGTCTCTTCTATTTCCCTTCGCCACAGATGAAGCACCTTGAGGTGCAATGGCCTTAAGGTTTGACTCCCAGATGAAATGTAGTACTCCAGTTCCAGTCCAAGGGGGGCCATTCTCTGCTCTCCATTTCTTTCCTCGCTCAAGCAGATCTTTCCCTTTGCTGAGCCAAGAGGAGCTTGTGGAGTCCTTGAATGGGTAAGCAGTCTCTCTTGTAGAGTACACTGTTCTCTGCTGTATGGAAATGTTAGCCAAGTTTCTACAGACCTCTTTGTAAAAAGAGAGCTGCTGGTGTTATCTGATATGTGAGCAGACCTTATTCAAATCTAACTCCCCCCTTTTAATGATGCATATTATTATTTTTCTTTTTTAAATTGTGTAAAGTGGGTAGCCTATCATATGTACGCTACAAACTGAGAAAACAGGTGCCTTATTCAAGGGTTGCAAGGATATGCAATTACTCAAACTTACATTGTTACCAATGAAGAAAAGTGTGATCTCAAAATCATGATGGCTCAAATTCCTCTTGGAGCAGGCTCTTGACTAAAATCATTTCAGTATCTTGCCTTGCTCATTGCCAGATCCTGCTGCTCTGAGACTTCAGACAGAAGTAGGTTTACTCTGAAGTGGTTATTTTCATTTTGTGATGTTGGAGTCATCAAAATGTTGGTTGTTGTGCAAATAATGCCCAGTAATTGGGTGGATGATCAGGCTCACTGTGGGTTGTTCAGCCCCTCCAGTCCACCCATGCACATCCAGGAGACTCCATGGCAGGAGTCACAGCAAAAGCTTTGTCACCCATGGTAGGCTATGTTGTGTGAACTGGCTATTTTAAGTGGTGAAGTCAGAAAGCCTGTGCATGGAGTGAAGTGGAAGAAACCATCTCACTTTTACAGCAGATGCTTGTGGCAAAACAAAGATCTGCATCATGTCCAAAACAATTGGCTCTTGGACTTAGTCAAGGGCCTAGTTCACAGTAGCATAGTGGTATATTTTGATGTGCAAGAGCTTATTGTGTGTGTGTGTGTGTGTGTGTGTGTGTGTGAGAGAGAGAGAGAGAGAGAGAGAGAGAGAGAGATCGCAAGTGTGAGCACTCTTCACTCCACCCATGCCACAGTACTGACCTTAATATCTAATTTAAGATCAGCAATCCCCCACCTGCCCCCACACAGCCCAATCGAGGCTGAGCGTGTTCAGTGGCCACAGAATGTTGAGTTTCTGGGAGTGATTCCAGACAAGGCTTTTACTAAGCAATTGCACTGCTTCATCCATGGAATTTTACAGGAAGTCCAGATAATCTTGACTCTCACTGCTGGCCCACCCATGTTTTCCTGCTGCTGCTTCCACTTTTTTTCCCATAAGGAAAAAAAAAAAAAAAAGCTTAAGTGCAAGGATGGAATAGCTGCACAATCCCTCTTGAGTGCTGGTGTGAGGAGCTCTCAATGTAGAAATATCCATTCTGGGAAGGAAAAAGAACAGAATGGAGTATCCTGAGAGAGAGATGAACCCTGAACATGAGTGCTATACATTACAGCCCTCTTTTGCAGGTCCCACCTGCTTTATACAGATGCTCAAACTAACCCTGTTCCTCCCTTCCATTGTTTGGGATTGGGTGGGTTGATGGACATTACAAGCTTAATTTTTTAAATTAACTTACGGCAATGGGAGAGTGTTGACATACTCTGTTCTCTTTTGTAAAAACAATTCACAGTGTCTATAGTCACTTATATTGCATCTGGTGTATATGGGGAAAACCACAGCTGAACTGATTCAGTTGACTGGATTCACAGAACATGCACTATCATTGAAACATGGGTTGTTGGAACCCAGCTACAGTAAGCTGTAGTTTATTAACTATGAACAACACAAGAAAAGAATCTATGCATTTTTGTTGGGTTGAGAACTGTTAGTTCCTTGTTAACAAACCATGGGTTATGACAGATGGGTTCAGACAACAGGACAACCCACTTTTCAACAAGTCATGGTTCAGAGACAAGCTACACTCAACGAATACTTAAGTGTGGGCTTTTGTGTTCTTCAGTTCAAGCCTCACTAGCATTGAGGTACACCTAGCGGACGTCATCCAGATTTAGGCATGTACAACTAAGGAGGTGGAAGTAAATTTCCTCAGCCCATTCTCCCCGGAAACTCATCCAGTACTGCAAAGCATTACACAGAGATTCAGTGCTCCTGTTGGATAGGGTAGGCTATGGTATGGATTATGGATGACAGCAAGATTCCCCCAAATAAGGGTGCCTTTAGGAAAAATATCCCTTTTGGGGTTCCCCCATTTCCTCTGTACCACAGCCTACTCTTTCCAAGGCCATTTGTGTAACGTTTTGAAGTGGGCTGTAAAGGAGCAGCCATGAGAGGCACAAATAGGGAAGGTCTGCTTTATTTATTTATGTGGATTTTTTTTTTTTAACCTCATCCAATACCCAGTGGGTCTCTGGACAGCTTATAATTGCTTCCATCAGGCCAGTTGCAGAAGTCTGAATCTGGATTCAGTCTGATATATGGGACTTGTAAGGAAAGGGAATAATTGACTCATTGTTCCCCACTCCACATAAACTAACTACTGGAGAGAAGAGAGACAAACTGGTTTCATAGAAACTTTCCTTTGAGTCTTGCATCTCTTTAGCCATGGAGGAAGCTACCTCTGTTTCAAAACCAGTCTCATACGGCTTGAGAGTCCAAGCCTGCACTCCTGAGCATCCATTTTTAAGTTGAAAGTGGCTGAGCATGCCCAGCCAGCCTACATCCTTGAACTGCTCACAGGAGGGATTCTGCAGCGCCAAAGGGAAGCCAGTGCCAGGCAATGAAATTCCCTGCACTGCATGCTGAGGGCTTGTGTCTACATGGAACCATAACAAGCAATTCCAGCAGGAGAACCTGCGCATGCTTTTGACTGTTAGCTGTACTAGGAAGTGTGAATGGTCTTTTGTTATCCTCCTGACAGGAGTCCCTATGACATGAATGACTTCAGCCCTGGCCTGTTTGAGAGCAGTGACTGCTCCTTGCCTGATTCACAGCTGGTCAGAAGGATTGTGTCGCAAGTGGAGTTCTACCTTTCTGATGAGAACTTGTCCAAAGATGCCTTCCTCCTGAAGCATGTCCAGAAGAACAAGATGGGCTTTGTCAGCATTAAACTCCTGACATCTTTTAAAAAGGTGGCAAATCTGTTCCTCCTCCTCCTCCTCTTAGTGGTACCTCTCTCTTCCTCTGAAGAAAGCAGGGTGGCCTACATAAAACAGATTCCAGGTTCTGAACTGTAACTTCTGGCCTCTTTCAGCCTCTTGTAACATAATTATGTGTCACTTTCAGGGACACATAATTATGTTACAAGCCAACATTACATCTGTAACCCAGAGGAGGTTTTTTTTTTAAAGACTAACAGTTAGCATTTTCATTTTTGCTGTATTCCGCACAATTATAGTACCACTTTGAGATACAGTATTAAATTTCCAGTGTTGAGCTAATACAATTTTTGCCACTGCAGATAAATGTGTAAGGAGTTCCTGATCCAGTTAGGGGCCACATCCCACTGTCATGATGGCCTGTCTTAACTTTGCACAGCTTAATCTAAGCCTGGGCTCAGTTCTATGTAGCAAAATTGATAGTTTCTCGAGTGTTTGCAGAATGCCGCTTTTTTACTACAGGCATTGACAACTTATCTTCATACGTAATATAAGGGTTGCCCTCCCTTTTCCATGTGTGGATAACCCAAGGACACACAAGGTTCCCCCCACTGAAAGATCCACAGATCACATGGAAAAGAATTTTAGGGGGTACACCCCTTAATTCCCCCCTCCAACAGGTATCCTATTAGTTTTTTGAGGTGATCACATATCCCGAGGGTCACTTTGCTTTTTAAGTGTCTTTGGGATGATAGCACCTCAAAGATGCAAGGTTTGGGGGATTTCCATTGAGTGTGAAAACTCTGGGATGGAGAAAGGGAGGTGGTGAGGAAGCAGAACAAAATGAAGTGTCCTGGGAAAGAGCGCCCTAAGCAGGAGCTCTCCACACTGCAAGCTGCTTCTTCTGTGGGTCTCACTTGTTTCAGAACCAAGGGGTCAGTTGACGGAGCTGGTCTCCCCCAGAGAAATCACAGAATCAAAATAGAGTTGGAAGGGACCCAGAAGGCCATTGGGTTCAGCCCCCTGCTACTGAAGGTCTGCTGCACATACTGTGGTCCAAAGCAGTTTTTTTTAAATGAGGGAGGGTAACCACAGGGGCTGTCACAATGAGTCATTGCATTGTGAAAATCAGTCACTGTGAGCATTGCCAGATCAGACTCATTGTGGGTTGGTGGCCACCTCATGCCTTGGTCCTCCTGCAAGTATCCCAGGGACAAATCAGGAAGAGCAAGTATTCTCCTTACTCCCTGCAGCTGCCATGAGGCTTTTGGGCCCACTGAGAAACTTTCTCCCTTTTAATTTTTTGTGGGGAGAGATTACAAAAGCCAGTCCAGCTGGGGCTTTTTAGCCTTATGCAGGCAGCTGTGAGCAACTGCCTCAAATGGCCTCATGGATGCTGTGGAAGGTATTTCTGGCTGCCCACCATTTCAAAATAAATTGTACACAAAATTTTGCACAAAAACATAAGCACCAAATGGTTCAATGATCACTAGAAATATTGCAGAGCAAGCTGTGGTGGTATCTCTTGGATTGTGTTGCCAGGAGGCATGAAATGATCAGTGTCTACCCTGTTTTTTCATTTCTTAGGGGAAATGTAACCACGAAAGCCATTTTCATCACAAAGTGAGAAACTGTCTCTTTAAAATAATGATCAAGTTAAAACATTTATTTTCCCTAACCACTTTTTCTTTCTTTATTCAGGTGAAGTACTTAACCCGAGATTGGCGAGTGACACTCTATGCTCTGCAGTTCTCTGACCTGCTAGAAGTAAATGAAGAAGGAACAAAGGTGAGGAGGAAGAACCCCATTCCAGGGTATCTGGTGAACATCCCTCCAAGTAAAATGCTACTGGCCTGGAATGTCCTTCCCTATGAGCAAACCATTTCTGCCTCAGTTGTGTTCCAGACTACCTTTCTTGATAAGATCACCAAGCTGTTTGGGCCATTTGGTGACATCAGCGCTATACGCATTATCCGCCCCGGCAAGAAGCTCCCTTCAGATGTGAAGAAATATTCCTCGCGGTACCCTGAACTCTTGACCAAGTGTTGCGCTTTGGTGGAGTATGAGAGTTTGGAGAGTGCTCGGAAGGCTTTTGAGGAGCTTGGCCACAACCAAGTCTCATGCTCTGGGGAAGCCATTAAAGTAGCCAGCCTCTCTGGAAGGGGTTCCAAAAAGAAGAGTTTTGCCAATCAGGAAGATGGTGAAGAGACTGAAGAGATGGAGAAGGCATCTAGAAAGTGGACCACCATGTTGCCAGAAGGCCTCAGACATGCTCTTGAAGACTCTTCCTTGTACAGCTCATCTACCGAGTCAGATAGTACCCCGGTTTCTACTCCTATCCTACCTCGGAATTTCCTTTCTGCTCCAGTATGGCCAACCACCAGCTTCTGCAACTCTGCTAGGCAGGCATTCAAACCAAATTTCTTCAGCATCCCATATGCAGGCCCTTTTCCGCTACACAAGTCACTGGCTTGGCCATTTTGCCCTTCCCCCCTCTCTGTACCCAAGCTGGGCAATGTTACTTCTGAATTACAAAAGTCATCTGACTCCTGCTGGGACAGTAGGGTAGGCACTGGGAACTTGTGGATGCCAAAAAGGCGTGGAGCAGTCTGCAGTCAGCTCCTCCCACTGAAACCAGAGCCCTTGAGCACAGTGGCTGATTCCAGAAGGATGTCTGAATCACTTGGTGTTCAGACGGGAGTGATCCGCCTTCCTCAAGGACCAGATGGTACCAGAGGTTTCTACAATACCATTGGGAGGGGGAAATTTGTGTTGCGACATTAAGCTTTATGGCAAATTTATATAAAGTAAATGCACTATTTCTGCAGTGGCTTCAAATCCAATGGATTCTGGATTCTGATCTGTCAGAGCTCTAGGGCTATAGAGACTGCTGGCTTACACAGTGGGAGGATGCTTGAGTGCTGCTAGTCTCTTTGGCCCCCTCTTTTTCTTTTTTCTTTTTCTTTTTCTTTTTCTTGGAATTTGACCTTTTGCATTGATGATAGGCTACTGAATATGAAGTCTGAATTATTACAATACAGAATACTAAGGCAGAGTTATGGGTAAGATTAAATTTGGAATGCTTGACTTCTATTGCTGCTAGAAATAGATCATAAATCTGCTGTCTAAAAACAGTCAATAAAGAACATGGAGACATTCCAAACCTTTGTGGATCCTGCCTCTTTGCTTTCTTTGTCTTGTTGATGAGCACAAAGTAGCAGACCATCATGATGATTCAAGATGCAGCTGAGGAGTTGCAAGTTCTCTTTCCCTATGGCAGGCCTGCATAATTTGTGGGTCTTCAGAGCAGATCCAGCAAGGACAGTCAACAGTGATGATGGGAGTTGTAGTCCAAAAATATCCAGAGAGCTAGGTTACCCTCCTCACTGATCAATGAAAGCAAAGTGAAGAGAGCCAAGTAGATGGTTTAAACACTTGTGTCAAAGCAACATGTGCAGGACTCTATCCCTTTGGCAGTATTCCAGCCTGTCACTCAACTTCTAACTTGCATCTTAAAATTTGTCTGTCCCTTTGACATAAAAAAAAGCCTCCAGGTGTTGACTTAAATTTATTCTTAAACTTGCACCTGCAAGTCACCCAGTGTTCATGCTGACTCCACCCCACCAGCATGCTGGCTCTCCTGCCCTATGCGCCTGCCGATGTCAGTGGAGTAGGATGGCTCATGAACAATCCAGCTTTCCTGACAGCAGGACAACAGGGTAGGGAAAGGAGTGACAGCTGCACAAATTCCTGGCAGCTGTTACCTCCTCTCCCCACAGTGTTCCCATGGTGTCCTCTGGGACACTGGTGGGAAGACCCTAGGGGAAAGAGGAGGAGGTGCTGTCTAAGATGACCCCACCCCCCCATGTTCAGTTTTCAGGTGGGCACAGCTGGGGCTCCCAGCCAGCTTTAGGCACAGGGTAGCTCTACAATATCCGAATCTGCCTGACAAATTGGGCAACATTGTTTGTCTTCATTTCCCCATGTACAGAAGAAAGTGGAAGTGCTGCAGTTGTCTCCCCAGAGTGGTAGTTTCTCTCCCCAAACTTGCTTCCATTGATTCCACTCACACCTCACTTGCGCCTTCACCCAAGGGAGTAGTAAAGATGCATTATTTCACCCAACAATATTCCTGAGCACCACTTTACCTTTACCACTGTGTGCCCTACTTTCCGGAGAAGCCCTACTGTTTGTAGATATTCACTGCTTGAAAGACTCTCTGGGCCAAAGATAAGGAACCATAGGAAGATGAGTGAACAGGGGCCTTGACTTTGACTAGCAGCCTAATCAGGTTGACACACAAACTACCAAGATACAGGCCTCATTATTATGGTGACGGGGTTACATTAAATTGCAGCTACAGATTTAGAATTATGCAGAGTTTCTGCAGGTCTTTGTCCTCTTTATGTCCTCCCTTTTTCGTGGGGGAGGAAGTGACTCCCCTACTTGCACCTGACATCAGAGTTTGATGCCAGAATGGGTAACCCACACTCTGGATATGGCCACCCTATGACTCAGCTGGCATTCATATATAGTAGCATGTTTTCTCTGCAGACCATGTCACTTTTAAAACAAAAATCAGTAAGAATGCAATTATATAGTGTTCAATATATAACAGCTGTGTTCTTACAATGCTCCTGCAGCTGAGTTCCTATTTAATATTCTTGTTGTCTTTCTCCACCTGTTGTTGATTTACTCTGAAGCTCCAGTATGCTTAGTAATTTGTGGAGATGGAAACAAAATGGTGTATTGGCATTTTATATCCATGTTTGTGCATGTACCTGGATGTGCCCTGGATTTGATATGCTTTTCATCAATACCCAATCAGAGATTTAAACTTCCAAATAAGTAGCTGGAGACTGTGAAGAGTGATAATATTAGCATTATACTAGCAAAACAGAAAATGAAAGGCGTTCAACATCTGTGGAACAGACAAAATTAGAGATGGGGTGTGTGGGTTTGCACAAGTTGTTAAACTGAGTCAGGTTGCATCCAAACTCCTTCCCCCTAAGTTGCCCCATACTATCCCAGGAGACAATTCAGGACCCCAGGAAGCATAGGATGAGAGGGCAAGGAGGTTGACCCTGAACATAACTGCTTCAGTGTCCACAAGAGGAGGCTGAGTCGACTGTGCCACCCTGGCCCACAGTCTCCCACTCTGAGCCCTTGGTGTTGCGGTGCTCACAGAGGTCTGCCCCACACCATTTCCCAAGTCCTGACTGGTGCAGGGCAGGCACCATGGCTGCCTATCCCATGCATCTTCTTCTTGGAAAGGAAGGCAATGGGCCCACCTCCCATCCTGTTTTCACCTTTGCCCAGTGAAGGGGACTGCAAGTGCTAGGCAGGAAGGTAAACTGCATCTTATTCCTGGTGGGCAGCATCAAGCCCTTTTGCTGCTGGCAAGAAGCCGAAAGGATGCTGCGGGTGCCCAGCTGCTGTGCTTGCCTTTGGGCTCCTTCCCACCCACCACACTGCTGCAGTGGTGGAGGAAGTGGGAGGGATACAGCTGCTTGACCTCACTTCCTCAATTGAGTGGCTGGTGGTTTTGCAAATGGGGCCTGGGGAAGTGGTGCACTGTGAAACCCAATGGCTTCCCCTGGGCTTCTTCAGGAGCAACCCCACACTCCTTCCCACGTCAGCAGGTGCACTGGGGGAAGCTGATGACAGCTGCACTTTGCCAACTGCCATCAGCTGGAGCCCCCTGGCCAAAATGGGAATGCTTCTTTGCTGCTCCAGCCAAGGGACTCGCTGGTTTTCAGCTTGACTGTGGGTTAACATATCACCTGAGTCCGGATGACACATTAACCCACAGGAGGGTTAATTAACCCCTTGAACAGCCACGGGTTTATAAACCACCCCTCCAGAAGGGTGCTGGGTTCAGACAACACAGAGAATTACTGTGATATGTGAACCCAGTCAAGGAGATGCCAAGAGGCAAGACAACAAAGTGACAAAAGAATCTTTCTGGATCACTATGGATGCTGTTGGGTTCAAGGTGAAATACGTAAGTAGGTGGATATCTGTCTTTCACAACTCTCCCTCTCTGTGTCAGAGCCAGATTTAGTTATATTTGGAGGAGATGGAGCCAATGGGACTTAAATCAGTATGATTACCTTAGATCCCACTGAACTCAGTGCTCTAAATACAACTAAATCTGCATCTGATGCATGTGTACACTATATATAGTCATCTCACTGATCTTGGTGGTTTGGGTTGGTTCATCCCCTGCCTGAGGTAAAGACAGAGAAATCTTGTATGTGGGAATGTGGAGACAACTGTTTGAAGATGGCACATTTAAAACAAGCCTTCATATTTTTAGCATGCGGCACACTGAGATGAAATTATAGCAATCAAAACAAAATTTTCCTGTTTCCAGCTAGTAATCAAGCATGAAAGCAGATATGGTATATCCATGAGAGGGCTAAGTGGTCCCCTCAGTGGCAGTGCCTCCCTGAAGGGCAAAGTCTGATTGGGCAGGATCACTGCTATTCGGAATCAGCACACACAATGCTCTTGTTCAAAGGGCATGCTGTGGGGGCAGCCTCCACCAGCTGGGGGGCACAACCGCAGCACAGAGACAAGCGAGCACAAGCAGCAGTGATGGTGAGGACACTGCTCCGGGCCCCCTGGTCCAGCAGGTCCCCTAACGCAAGGCCTGACGGGCCCTAGCTGCACCCCAGATGTGCATCCCAGTTTAACGTTGACTGGTTAACAACACTTCCATGCAGTCTTATTGGTTACAAACTGCACCTCTGACGACCACCAAAGCTTCCCTCCCAAATGCCTGCCAGCTGGTTGGAAGTGAAGAAGGAGCAATATTCCCGGCTTTTTCATCTCATTCCAAGGCAGTTTTTTTTAATCATTTTCCTTACATGGTGACTCAAACTGGAGTACATCCTCACCTCCCCCCATGCCCCAAGCTCTGGCTTCATGTTGCAGATTTGCCTGCAAGATGCTTAGCCTGCAATGTTGCCCACCAGGGGTGCAGAATTCAGCCTCCTTGTGCTTCCAGTGTGTCCCTCCAGAGCTACCCAGATGGTCCTGGTCCCATTTCCCCCATCCCCTGCTTGCTGCAATTTTTTTACCATTTTTCCTCCACTCAAAAAGGTTGAAACACCTCTGAGTTGCAAGCCATTAGTGCTTATATGAAAACATGTTGTTATTTTGACCCTCTCTCTTTTGCTTTTGATCAGCCCCCTTTGCCTTCAAGGCTGTACTCACTCGGGGCATGCCATCCCTGCTCCCAGAGCTTCTTCAAAATGGAACCTGGCCCCCAAGCTGAAAAAGCTCTGTGCCCCTGCTGTACACATTTTGGTAAGATCTGTTTAACTCAGTGAGATGTTGTTCTACATAGGCATATTTAGGATCATGCTGTTAGTAGCAAGTGTTACTGTATGTATGATTTAGATGTATTTTAGTGATACATGGCAAGCCACATTCAAATGTATTTATAAAGAAAAATAGGTTAGGTTAAAAAAATCTATAATAAAGCACTTCGATAACAGCACTATTCCAAGAGTCTTCTCATAAGTAAGTCCAACTGATTTAATACGACTGCTTCCAGGGATGTGTGTGCAGGATTTCAACCAAGATTTTATTTTCTTTAAAAACAAAATCAACAACACTTGAATCTTAACTCCACTGATTAAAGTTCCTGAAACTAATGGGCAATTTTGGTGTGTTTTGGTGTGTTTAAACTAACAGTTGCCGTACCAATACTCCCCCCTGCCCCCCTCCCATTCCTGCTCTTAAAATTGCTCTTTTAATCTTCTTTAAAAGATTTGTCTGTGGTTAACCTTGGCATACTTGGCTGCTTTGTGCTTTGGAGAGTTTGCCAGTAAAAGGAGAGGAAAAATGTGTCTTGTTGTGACTATTGCAGAATTATTATTCTTTTCAGAGTGACAAAGCAGGCTGTCTGATTCCATACAGTACCACCCACTAACTCTTCAAAAGGCAGCATTTGTGGCAGTCTACTTGCATATATTCTGTGAGGATGTGGGAAGGAGGTGTAAGTACAACCCCGCTGTCCAGATGCTCTGTGCTACATAGAAAGGGGGTTATAATTATTTCTAAAATGTGTAAGTTGTTTTTCTCAAC